CAGGGTTGCTATGCAGAGGCAGGCAGTGACAAACCGCCTCTGAACGTCTCTCGCCTTGAATGGCCCAGACTAGCCCTGTCTCATCACACCCCAGAAGCTTAAGCAGAGTCAGCTCTGGTGAGTCCTTGGATGGAAAATGACCAAGGAAGTCCAGGGTGGCTATGCAGAGGCAGGCCATGGCGAACCACCTCTGAACGTCTCTTGCCTTGAACTGAATGGCCCAGGCTAGCCCTGTCTCATCACATCCCAGAAGCTTAAGCAGAGTCAGCTCTGGTGAGTCCTTGGATGGAAAACAACCAAGGAAGTCCAGGGTTGCTGTGCAGAGGCAGGCCATGGCAAACCCACCTCTGTTCACCTGTCCTGACCTGGATGCCCCAGGCTAGCCTGACCTCATCAGAACTTGGAGGCTAAGCTTTATCAGTTTTGGTTAGTGCTTGGATGGGAGACCACCAAGGGAGTCCAGGGTTGCTATGCAGAGGCAGGCCATGGCAAAAATCACCTCTGAACGTTTCTTGCCTTGAAAACCCTACCACGTTGGCTGCTGCTGAAGGGCACTTTTCAAACCCCATCAGTCCTACATATTAGGGCTGAATGGCAGCTAGATGCCCCAGCATAAAACAGTGCATTTCCGTGTTATAAAATGTGAGGACCGCATATTTTTAGGATAAAGAGTGGCGTCATGCACAGAGAGTGTATCGCCAGCGGGAAGAGGGTGGACATTCTACGATTGGAAACAGAGAGGGGGAGGTGCCCAGGGGTCATTTCCTGCAGGAGCGCACAGGAGCGGAGCTCCGGCAGTAAAGAGCCCAGGGGGCGGGCACAGGGAACAAGCCCCACCCCCTGCTCCCAGGAGCCCTCAGTCAGAGCAAGAAGCAGCCAGGTAAGTTGCAGAGCCCCTCCCCCCAGTCCAAAACAGTCCAGTGGCACCGTTAAGACCAAGTTTTATTCAGGCACAAGCTCTCCCTCCTCTGCGAGGACAGATCTGCACGTTCCCAATAGCTAGCAATCCAAAACAGTCCAGTGGAGCCTGAGCGGTGGGTGTTGCCTTCTGACACACTTCCGGTGATGTCATGGGGTGTGGCACTGCAAATGAGTTATGCTAATGAGTTATGCCAATGAGCTCCTGAGCCTCCTGCACCTCTTTCTCTACGAAATGACCCCTGGAGGTGTCTACCTTGTTCTGAGGCTTACAGGTCCGATCCCGTATTCATTTATTAAGAAGGCAGACCCTTTGCCTCTCCAGCAAACCAACTCGAGGCAATTCGCCAAGTCCAAACAATACAGTCGAACCGTTGTTGTTTTTTAAAAGGGTCGTTGAAACAAAAACCAAACGGCATTCGGCAGCCTAAGACGATGTTTATTAAATAGCCCTCAAAAAACTGGACGATTTAAAAAGTCTTTAAAAGACCTAAGTTAAATAGGATTGCTAGCTCTGGGTCGGGAAGTTCCTGGAGATTTGGGGTGGAGTGTGGGGAGGGCGAGGTTTGGGGAGGAGGGGGAACCCCAGTGGGGCACAGCCCCATAGAATCCACCCCCCAAAGCAGCCACTCACACACACACACACCCCAAGGGGAACTGAACTTGGTTGTCTGAAGATCAGTTGCAATTCTAGGAGATCTCCAAGCACACTTGGAGGTTGCCAACATGGGGAGGGCAGGTTTGGGGAAGGGAGGGACCTCCACGGTGTATAATGCCACAGAGCCAACCCCCCCCCCCCCGAGCAGCCCTTTCCTCTAGGAGAGCCAGTTTGGTGTAGTGGTTAAGAGCACGGACTTTAATCTGGGGAGAACCGGGTTCGATTCCCCACTCCTCAACGTGCAGCTGCTGGGGTGACCTTGGGTCAGTCACAAGTTCTCCCAGAGCTGTTCTCTCTAGTCCTTGAAAGAGCTCTCTCAGCCCCACCTACCTCACAGGGTGTCTGTTGTGGGGAGGGGAAGGGAAAGGAGATTGTAAGCGGTTCTGAGACTCTTTCGGGTAGTGAAGGGCAGGGTATAAATCCAATCTCCTCCTCCTCCTCCTCTTCTTCTTCTTCTTCGATAGATCAAGACGGGGACCCCTGTTAGTCTGTCTGTAGATGTAGAAAAGAGCAAGAGCCCACTAGCACCTGAAAGACCAACAACATTTGTGGCAGGGTAGGAACTTTCATGAGTGAGCAGTGACTCGTGAAAGTTCATACCCTGCCACACATTTCTTCCAGGGGAACCGATCTCTCTAGTCTGGAAATCACTTCTAACTCCAGATCTCCAGGGCCCACCTGGAGGTTAGCAACCCTAGCAGGCAGGCAGATTCTGGAGCAGGGGCGCTCTAGAACGGGGGGGGGGATGAAAGCAAAAGCTCCCATTCCTCTATGCTGAGCCAGGGACTGTGGGGCAGAGGGTTGGCCTAGAGTCCGAATCCCCACCCCATTGGGAAACTTGGTCCAGTCACTCTTTTACAGACTAGCCTACCGCAAAGGGTTGTTTTGAGGATGAGATAGGATTGGGGGCAGGTGCATGTAGACTGCCCTGAGCTCCTTTGGAAGAAGAGTGGACTACAAATCAAATAAAGAGGGTATCAAGAATGTCTCCAGCTCTCTGAGAAAGCAAAGTATGCTTAGGGCTCGGGTGCCGCGTTTTCTTTTGGGGAGGGTTTTTAATCAGTCTGAGGATCCAGACAGAAAAAAACAGCCCAGCAGGATTAGATTGGTGGTCCATCTAGGCCAGCCTCCTGTCTCACACAGCGGCCAACCAGTTCCTCTGGAGAGCCAACAAGAGGGCAGAGAGGCCGAGGCCTTCATAAGAACGTCAGAAGAGCCCTGCTGGATCAGACCAGTGGTCCCTCTAGTCCAGCCTCCTGTCTCACACAGCGGCCAACCAGTTCCTCTGGAGAGCCAACAAGAGGGCAGAGAGGCCGAGGCCTTCATAAGAACGTCAGAAGAGCCCTGCTGGATCAGACCAGTGGTCCCTCTAGTCCAGCCTCCTGTCTCACACAGCGGCCAACCAGTTCCTCTGGAGAGCCAACAAGAGGGCAGAGAGGCCGAGGCCTTCATAAGAACGTCAGAAGAGCCCTGCTGGATCAGACCAGTGGTCCACCTAGTCCATCAACCATCTCTCTAACACAGTGACCAACCAGTTCCTCTGGACGGCCAACGACAGGGCAGAGAGGCCAAGACTTTCCTAAGGATATAAGCCCTGCTGGATCAGACCAGTGGTCCATCTAGTCCAGCATCCTGTCTCACACAGCGGCCAACCAGTTCCTCTGGAAAGCCAACAACAGGGCAGAGAGGCCGAGGCCTTCATAAGAACGTCAGAAGAGCCCAGCTGGATCGGACCAGTGGTCCATCTAGTCCAGCATCCTGTCTCACTCGGTGGCCAACCAGTTCCTCTGGAGGGCCAACAACAAGGCACAGAGGCCGAGGCCTTCCTAAGAACATCAGAAGAGCCCTGCTGGATCAGACCAGTGGTCCACCTAGTCCAGCATCCCGTCTCACAGTGGCCAACCAGGTGCTCCTGGAAGGCCTACAAGCGCCCTGTCATTGCTCTTCCCAGCAATTGATATTCGAAGGTACACTGCCCCTGAACATGGAGGCTCCATCCAGCTATGGGCTTTTGCACCCTAGTCTGGGCCAGCCTCTGAATACCAGCTCTCTCCTTAAGGAACTGAATTGGTGACGGTAACCTGGCCGCTCCCAGATCCACCCACTTTTAGTTTATTTATTAATTTTTATTCATTTATTAGATTCAATTTGTATCCCGCCCGTCCCGCCAAAGTGGGCTCAGGGCGGCTTGCATTAAAAGTTAAAATACAATAAAACACAAATTCAGTGCATACAAAACACATCATAAAATTCATATACATTCCTTCCCTACTGTCTACACTGCCTTTTTGGCTGAGGTTGTTGAGTGTAGGGTGGTCTACTGACCTGCTGGCGGGTCAGTGGGGGTTGGTTCATTTATCCTGTTCATTAACCCTGCCGCCTACAATATAAAGATATAACCATCCAGAAATGGAATTTGCTGCCAGAAGATGCAGTGATGACCACAGGAATAGACAGCTTTAAAAGGGGATTAGATAGATTCATGGAGGAGAGGTCTATCAGTGTCTGCTAGCCACGGGGACTAAATGGAACCTCCATGTTCAGAGGCAGTTGACCTCAGAATCGCATTGCCAGGAGGCAGCACCAGGGGAAGGCCTCAGACTCTATGCCCTGTTGTTGGCCCTGCAGAGGAACTGCCTGGTTACTATGTGAGACAGGATGCTGGACTAGATGGACCACTGGTCTGATCCAGCAGAGCTTATAGTCTTACACCATATTTTCAGCGGTTGTGCCTCATTTCAAGATATCGCAGCCCTAGAAGTTAGATGTCATTTAT